ACATCAGAATTACTGGAGTGCACAATGCTCTGGTCAGTCCTGTTTGAAAGACTTTCTTATCCTGCAAACCATAATCCTGGCACTCCTGGATATAAACTGATGCTGGCTAATCAGCCCAGGTTTGCTCTCTTGACCCTGTGTCATTGACTTACAAGGCTTCTCTAAGTAGATCAGTCTGCTTTGTAGCATGACAAAACTCACACAGAAATACCAGGGAACCCCAAAACCAGAGTCAGGAGAATATTTAGCAATAGTAACAACTTCACATGCCTAATGGCAGTGCTGGTGTGTACTTCTGTACTTCTAGATGTAAGCAACTTTGGATCATGTTACAATTCAAAACAGTTAAATAATATACCCTGTATATTTACTATAAAAAAGATCAGCTGACAGATGGTTGACCATGATTGATAGTCATGGTCATTGTCATTCGCCTCAGGTACAAATTTCTCTTCGTTAACCTTTAGGGAATGTATTACTTCAACATCTGAAGCACCACGTGGCTGAAGCTGATGTGTCAGTGCTCCTTTGGAACAGTATCTGCTGGGGACATACAGTGTTCTGGTTGTCTGATAAGAAAGGCGTTACAAGAAAGGCAGGCTGCAAACTCCTGTAGGATATCCCCTCAGAGTCACTGGAATAGTTAGTACCGAACAGGAAGGAAGCATCCCTGGAAAGAGTGGTTCCCAAAATTTCTGTGACTGTGGGATACCTTCTCATTGAGGCTATGCCAAGTGTTATTTCCAGTCTGTGTCTGCACTAGGATGTGTATTGGGAAGGCAAAACCATCGTGGCACTTCTTGAAAGCTGTTACGTCTCATTCCCGTTTTTTATCTGTTCACAGTGTATGTGAATCTGCTCAGAAGCTGACTGCTGGATAGCCACTCCTGTACAGGAAAAGGCTATTTATACTTGATTTAACCCTTCCATGTAAGGCACTACAGATAGACAGAGGTCAGTGCCATGGTTTGCTTCTCCTTGTGCTGAAAAAATAAATGGGTCGCAAATCCGGTTCCCTGTGACAATTGGCAATTAGGCATTAGGCAATGTTTTGCAATAAGAAATTAGTAGAATGACCCCAAGGGATCAAGAGCCAAGAGGAGGTGGCTGACACCCATTCCATCTCCTTTTCATTTCCCTAGGAGACCAGGAATTGTTTCAGGTGAATTTCTTATGCTTGTGGGTGTCAAATTGAGATTTGTTAAATTAAAGGGAGCTTTGCTCTTGAATTCCTCCTGTGTCACCAGCATCCCTTTCTTTTAAGTTAGATTTCACAAACAGAGAGTTTTGCACATTGTCTTATGGCTTTTCTTGACATTCAGGGTACTTTGTGGTAAAGAAATGCTTGTGGCTGTTTGGTATAAATTCATCAGCTGTTACATACTGGACCTTACAATTGAATGCTACATTCTGTTGCTGCATGTTTATTTGAATTATTTGCAATACCTTCACACTTCCTTCTCCCAGGTTCAAAATGGACATGATTGCAGCATGGCTGGCTATTGATAAGAGGGACAAAGAGGGCAGAAGAATGACATGCAGAAGCTCTGTTTAGTCAGTGGATGACAGAATTAATTCTGAAAGAAATTACTGTGCCAAGAAAATTTGTGTAGTCCCCTCATAAACTGTAGTTATTCAGCTCATACTGGAATTCAACAAACATGTACAGTGGTTCTTTTGAAATAATATTAATAAGAGATCAATTATTGTGATATAAAAAGCTATGCCAAATTTTGACCAAAAAACAGGAAGCTGTGTTATGAATTGTCTCGAGAAATAAAGGATTTCCTATCTCCTTCACATCATAAGCAAGTGCATCGCCTTCATTCAGGGCAGAGATAAAATTCCAATCCAAATGAACTCTGTAGTGCCTTTGGGCTGGATATTTGGACCACATTGATAGAGAGGCCACCAGCAACTCCTGAATTCTTTCACTTTATAGGACTGCCATCCCTGTGGCCTCCTCTTTCACAAACCTGCAAGGGGCTGGGGCTCCCAGCCTGGCAAGATGATGCTTTCACTGCCGTGGGTTGTTGCAATGTTATGTGTCCAGGAACAAACTGAGTGGAATTGGTGTAGTAATTATCTTTTGCTGTGTGGAAAATGTGACATGTTGGGCGAAAAGCAATAGACTGTCAAGGTGTCTCAATTTATTCCTCCTCTAAACCTGCTCTGCTTCCTTTTTTTTCTGATATACCTGTGATAATTGTCTCAGCAGCCCTCAAGAAGCCTCATATGTCTTGGACTGAGTGGTTTGCCAGGGAAAATTATAGCTGACAATCCCATAATTCAGCATAATGGATGGGTGAATATGGGAGGGGGTTGCTTGCTCTCTGGTCTTTTTAGAAGGTGGCAGGTAAGAATTACAGTGTCTGTCTGTGCTCATAGTGTAGTGGGGAATATGACTTTGTAAGAGTTAGGCAGTGAAAATTGTAAGGTTTCGTGGGATGGAAAACAATTCTCCCTTATTCATGAGAGGAAACATCTTCTTACTCCCACCCAGGGTAGGGAAGTCTGTCTTCCCTTCTATCCTTTTAAGAAAGAATCCATCTTCTGTGTGCCCAGACTTATTGCTGAGGCATCCCATTAAGCGAGTCACCACATTCTCCTGTAACTTTGTGGTGTCCTATCAATACTTAACTTTGCCCACCTTTCCTGCCTCAATCAGGTCCCAGAAACTACCTCCACCCTCCCGCCCACGAGATTTTTAGGGCCCAGGCGACATGCATACCGATCCCCTGTGCTGGGGCTGATGGCAGCTCTTCAGAGACGCTGCCTTGTGCCAGGTGGATCAACGCCTGCCCATCCAGCTCTCCACCATACGCCACCCTGGGGAACATGTGTTAGCTGGGCAAACCACTCGAGGAAGAGACCAGATATGAGAACGTAAGGAGTGGCAGCTAAACAGAAATGGGTGAGTAAAGTTTTACAAACAGTAAAACATTTTCCCAGGGCAGCCTAGAACTGGAGCCTTTTTGTGGGGCAGGTGAGAAAATAGTGTGTAATGGCATACCTGGCAGTGGCAGCGTGATGAGAGAGCGAGGGGCTTGAGGTTGCCATTGAAAGAAAGAGCAATGGGAAGGCAGAAAAAAACAGACAAATCAGCAAGGTTTTGCAGAAGATACAGAAAGCTCAGAAAGAAGCCAGAAAGGGGAGAGAAGGCAAAGAAGCTAACTAATGAGAAAAAGCAAAAGAAAAGTTAGACTGCTGAAAAAGATTGCAGTGTAGTTGCAAAGACCCGAGGGATGTCATTCAGCAGCAAATCTGAAGATACAAAAGCTACTTGACTCACTATAGGGCACAAGAAGCATACCAATGGATCCACATGAGCTTGAGAACATGTCAGGATCCTGCTTGTTGGCGCCTGGGCATGTGGTATTAACTAGAGGACTTCAAGGTGGTACAGCCCACTCTGACACCTGTGCTTCTGTTACTGACTGGAGGGTATTGGGTGCACTTTCTACAGAGGATCTTTGGGTCTGCTTTCATGTCCAAGAAAATCCAGTTTGTGCGTACTCAGACTGCTCCACAAACCAAATAATGGTACATGTTTTTAAAGGACAGCCCCAGCTTTATAAAAACACACCAATGTAAGTATGCGCAAAGGGAAGATGATTTGTGGACTAGCATATCACTGTCTTGGAAGTTTTGCTCATACTACCAAAGTTAGCTAATTTGTTCTGTGAGAAGTTTGTAAACAAGCAGCTGGTGGGCTCCCCTTAAGTTCTAGAGTTATTCACCTCTGTATCTTCTGTCATGTATACAAAAAGGCAGGAGGGAGATGGCTGTAAGGGGTTGAACTGTGTCTTTCCTAAGAAATACTGAATTAAATTATTGACAGTTGATAGGATAGAAGGAGAAACCAGATTATCTATTGCATTTCAATTCTGTAGCTGAATAGATGAAAAGGTAGATGGCTTGTTACTTCACCACAGTGTATTTTGTAACCCTGTAATACAGGCTTTTTGGCTAATTTCTGGTAGAGCAATGGAGGGAGCAGGTTTATTGTATTGTCAGTCCCTGCCTGCTGAAACTTGCATCTTCATTTCCTGTGTGTTATTAAAAAATAAAATAAAAAGGCCTGACTTGTGCCTCAAGCTTCATTTTCATTCCTTTGGTCAAATACCAAAAGGAGGCAGTGATTTCTTCATGAAGGAGAAAAACGGACTAAATATGTCATCAATTTGTGCAAATGTCAGTTGGAGAAGTGCTCC